GACACCTCGGGCTCTAAATCCATTTCTCTGTAGAAGGAGGGTGGACGAGAGCGCCTATGGAAATTTGACAAGGAAGATTGAAATGAGAACTAAGACACGAATTTGGGTAATTTGAAATTGAAATTGTGAAAATTTGAGTTTTTAAAAGGATTAATCTTGTGGGTTTTTTTATTTAAATGGATGACTGATACTTTTACAGCAATTTTTAAGTGATTTTGAGAGGATTTGGGAAGAGAAAGCATAGAAAATGAAAAAGAATTGAAGATAAATGAACCGGTACACGTTTTGAAGAATCTGACTTTGCGTAGATCCGGACAATGCGGTCCGCACTGACCATACAATCTTTGACTCGTCCAGATGCCTTTTTTTAATGAGAAATTAATTAAGCACATCATTTTTATCAATAATTCCTAAACTTCTTCTAATGAATGAGAATCGATCAAAGGCTAGAGGTTTTATGAAGATATCGGCCAATTGATTTTCTGTGTCAATAAATTCTAATGTGATATCTTCCTTTTGTGCATGATCTCTAAGAAAATGATGTCTAATTTCAATATGCTTCTTTTGAGAGTGCAAGATATGGGGTTTTTGGATAAGTTAATGGCATTAGTGTTATCACACATAATAGGAATATGATCGTAAGATAAATGATAATCACTTAGGGTTTGCTTCATCTATAGCACTTGTGCACAACTACTTACGGTCGAGATATATTCGACTTTGACATTAGAAAATACCATGAAATTTTATTTCTTTCTAAACCATGATACTAGTTCAAATCCTAGAAAATAACATGTACCACGAGTGCTTTTACAATCAATTTGACAACCAGCCCAATCGCCATCCGAATAAATAAATAGGTCAATGTGAGTTCCTTTTGGATACCAAAGTCCTAGATTTCGAGTTCCAATAAGGTATCTAAAGATTCTTTTAACAGCTTTAAGATGAGATTCCTTAGGATTAGATTGAAATCTAGCAAAAGCATATACTAAATATAATATTGGGTCTATTAGCAGCTAAATAAAGAAGGAATCCGATCATACCTCGATATTTTTGTTACGTCAATGGGAGTATCTTAATCATCTTTGTCGAGCTTAACGAATGTGCTCATTGGCTTTAGGTTTCTTGAGCATGTCAAATATGTACTTGTTTTGATTTATGAATATTCAATTACTCCTTTATTTAATTTGAAGGCCAAGAAAGAACTTAAGTTCTCCCATCATACTTAGTTTAAATTCCATATTCATGTATTTTGAAAATTCTTTACAAAGATGAACATTAGTGGCACCAAAAATAATGTCATCAACATAAATTTGAACAATAAGTATATTTTCTTTGTGAGTTCTAAGAAAAAGTGTAGTATCCGCTTTTTCAATTGAAATTCCATTTGAGAGTAGAAATTTGCTCAAACGTTCATACCAAACTTTAGGAGCTTGTTTTTAAACCATAAAGAGCTTTTCTAAATTTGAAAACATGATTCGGATACTTTTGATCTTTAAACCTGGGATTACTCTACAAAGACTTCTTCTTGAATAAACCTGTTTAGAAATGTACTTTTAACATTCATTTGATAAAGCATGAAATATTTATAGCAAGTAAATGCAAGAAGTATGCGGATGGATTCTAACGTAACAACCCGTGCAAAGGTTTCCTCATAATTGATACTTTTTTCTTGATCGTAACATTGGACCACAAGGTTTGATCTATTGGTCTTGCGACTAAGTTCCAAATATGGTTTCTCTCAAATTGATTTAGTTCTTCTTGTATCACTCGAATCCAAAACTCATCAAATTTGGCTTCTTTGAAGTTTTTAGGTTCAATTTGTGAAATGAATGTACAACTACCGAGATGATTTTTATAAAAAGTTCTAGCGGTGTTACATTTGGATAGATCGCCTAGTATTAGTTCCTTTGGATAAGATAGAATAAACCTCCATTCTTTTGGTAGTGCGGGATCACTTTGAACTTCAGTTGATATTTCTTTACTTTCTTGACCATTAGTCTCCTTTGTTTGTTCTTCATTTGGTACTTCCTTGTTTTAGTCTTTAATAGTCATTTGTTCAAATGGAACTTTCAAACCTACATCATTATCACTACCTTATTCACGATCAAGAGAGTTAGTATCATCAAAAGTGATTCTTCAACAACTAGAATTCTTTTATTAAATACTCTATAAGTTTTGCTAATCAATGATATCCTAGAAAGATCCCAACATCGGATTTTGAGTCAAATTTTCTCAAATTATCTTTTGTATTCAAATTGAAACATTTACAATCGAAATCTCTAAAGTAACCGATATTTGAAATTCTATTCTTCCAAAGCTCATACAGAGTTTTGGTTTTCTTTTTATCAACATTTACTCTATTTACAATATAGCAAGCGATATTGACAGTTTCGGCCCAAAAGTATTTTAGTATACCATTTTCATTTAGCATGGTCCTAGTCATTTCTTGTAATGTCTGATTCTTCATTTCTATCACTCCATTTTGTTAAGAAGTTCTAGGAATCGAGAAATTATGATTATATCCAATTTCATTAATAAAATTGTCAAAAGCAAGATTATCAAACTCTCCACCATGATCACTTCTTATGGTGGTAATGGAGTATCCTTTCTCATTTTATACCTTTTTGAAAAAAAAAAATTACAAATTAAAAGCATTTAACGCTTCATCTTTAAGACTTAAGAATAGAACCCAAGTGAATCTAGAAAAATCATCATGATTTAGCATTCATGTGTGCACGAAATGGAGAAAAATGACAAATTTTTTTTTTTAATGACGGGGAAACCCGCAGTCGCTACCCTTCGGGTGCCACTGGGTAAACTCTCGGGCTGATGCAATAACTTGCAAACCATGCCAGTAAGGTAAACCGCACTAGGCAAGTTCGGTGCGACAGGCTCGACCGAGAAAGTGTTAGTAGGGAAAATCGAACTCATGATCAAAAGTTTTCACGCTCATCTATTACACCAATTCGACCACCCCATGATGGGTAAATTATGACTTTGTTTGCATGAACCATTGATTAAGGAGATTTTCCATTTTTGCAAGTTGGTTCTGTCTGTTTTAACAGCCAATAGTATTTGAATTCTGAAAGGACAAAAAAATGCATCTCACATCTGTACAAGGTGCATAATAATGAAGTAAATAAAAGCTATAATAACATCTATTAAGACGCTTAAGCGGGTCACACACTGGCTCATAAACAAAATGTCCAAACGTTATAGAAAATTCTGGCTCCCATTAGTCTATTTCTATATATACGCATCAATATTGGGATTTATAGATTTCTCAATGCGAGGAATTAAGATAAGACAATCAAACATACTCTTTTTCAAATTCAACGAATAAATTATCTCGAAATACGATTCCCTAATGCATGCAAAAAGAAGACCTCAATCTCAGGAGCAGCAAAAAATGTAAAACTTTGTGGTTTTGATTTACAGATTCCTGCAGCCATTCTTCTCTTCTTTGGTGCAGGCGGGCACGACCGGATTTCGGGTATCCTGTATCTCTTTGCTTTGGGTGTGGAACACTCTTTCACATTCAAATCATCCGCTTGAATCTGAGCCATTGAACTGTACTCTTCTGAGCAATCACAAGAAGATAACTCCATTAAAACTACCTCCTTGTTTCCTGGTTCAAGAATCTGCTTATATATACATCTTCTGTTGAATTTTATCTAAAGGAACGGTTGAAAAGGTCAATACACTTTTCTCAAAAGGAGAATTTACAGTGTAATTGCTAGTGTAAGCAGTGAGACAAGATGGTAATGAACCAAGTATATGAATCTAAGATGAGGCATTAGACTATTGGAAAGTTGGAAGAATTATGTCATATATTAACTAAGATACAACAACAACACTACATTTTAACAACTGCTACACTCTAAAAAGTAAAATTATATGCTACTTTTTCCAAAATCAAATCCCTTTTGTTCAAGTTCAAATTTATTTATGGATATATAAATATCCATATGTCTTGACTTTTTGTGGCTAATTTGGGTCAACTTTCTGGCCTGTTTTAAAGCCTGTGAAGTGTTTGCTAATGCCAGCTATCTATTGGGTTCTGACCCAATTGTTACAATTGAACACAGGCTTGCCTTTTGGATTCCAAATCATTTGGGTAATCGTTAGTCCAGTGCAACAGTATTTTTCAAGAGGTAATTACACATGGCCAATTTTTTAATTTTTTATTTCAATAATCAGGTGCTAAGATATTTATTTAAAGAATAATGCTATTTGTAGTTGCTTTACGTGACATATATGTGACGATTAGTGATTTAATACATAAGGTAATAAAAAACTTTTATATTAATGTATCAAATCACGAATTACCACATGTATATTACATAGGACGATTATGATAGTTAATAACTGCAAATAGCATTACTCTTATTTAAAAATCATCTGCACTCCATCCCGTCCTATTCCACAACTACCAACTTACTGTACAAATCCAAATCCTAACCCCATTTCCACCCTTCTAAGTCCTAAACATCTATGTCAAAATAAAACAAAACTTACATGATGGTGATGATAAATTTTTCAGTCTTATTTTCTTAATTGTGGAAATCTCGTCAATGCCTTACAGAGACATTGAAAAACTTCAATGATATTTTTGGACTCGCTGCTGTATTCATTTCCAACAGGGAATCCAAATGAAAAAACCAAACTTGCAGGTAATCATGATGTGATGGTCACTACCAAATATTTTTGACTTTGACCTTTTAGGCTTTTCTTAGCAGCCAGATCGAGAAAAAATGATACCAAATGTGTGATTTAAAAGTATGAAAAAGATTGAATTTACGTGTAAAATATTTTATTACGTAAGTATGTGATTAAAAATTTATATGAGAATTAAAAATTTTATATACTGGAAGACAAACAGGGCGTCATTGTTTTAACTACAATGAGTAAATCAAACCAGTAAGCTTCCAATAAAAATAAAATTGTCATTTTTCTCCATTTCGTGCACACATGAATGCTAAATCATGAGGAGAATGTACCAGTAAACTTACATTTTTAGATCAAGAATGGCAAAGAATGCACCATTATAATCCATTACCCAACAATGGCTACAAACCTTCTCAATTTTCAATACTTAGCGTGCACCTAACAAAATGGTAAAATTAGAGAAGCTACAAGCCAGTTATGCCTACTTTACACGAGAAGTAAAGACTAAAAACGTCAAAAGAACTATAATTTCATCAGTTCCTACGTTGCTTCGTCCGATTCCCACGATTCTTTCGGCGCTTTGAGAAGCGTAAAAGGATTTGGTGGAGGATCAACAGGCAATGTGCCTTCTAGAACTTGTATTACCTCACCCATTGACGGCCTCATTCGTTCATCAACTTGAAGACACCAAAATGCAACGCGTAATGAATGCTCCAACTCTTCCGGATTTACCCCACCTTCGATCTCTGCATCAGATATCGTCTCAGCATGACCCTCGACCCATTTTGCGTATGCCCATTCACAAACTTCAGAATTTTGGTATCCGCTGATCAATACGAGCAACAGATTGCCGAAGTCTCTCACGTCGGTATCTGCCAATCCCCCAACTTCAGAAACCTCAGATAGAATCGTACTGAGTCCAAATTCTGTCACCTTGGCTTCCAAGTCATCTTCCAAAACAACATTTTCACATTTTAAATTGCCATGGCACACAAAGTCTCTGCACCCAGTGTGCAGGTAAGAAATGGCCCTTGCAACTTCTAAGGAAATTTTCATTCTCTTTCCCCATGTCAGACTCTTGCACAACTTAGGGTCTTTCAAACATTTCCCTAGCGACCCATTACTGACAAACTCGTATACCAAAAATCTGTGGCCCGACTCAAAACAGTAACCTTCCAGCTTCACGAGGTTCTTGTGATGTATGCTTCCGATTCTTGAAACTGAAGTTCTAAACTTCCTCAATTCAACAGTTGTGTCGAGCTCTTTGACTGCAACTGGCCTGTTATCGGGAAGTATACCTCTGAACATCTTTGGTCCAATCTGGTGCTTGAAATCTTCTGTAAGGCACCTGATTTCACTGTAGGATAGTGTGATGCATCCATCAGTAAATGGATGTAAATCTGCTTTCGTAGATTTTTTCCTGATTTTTGCCTTCCACTTGAATATGTAAAGACCAAGTCCAAATTGTATCAATATAAACATGACAAATGTAGCGGCGGAAACTCCAACAAGACAAGGAATACAAATTGGAGATGATGAATTCTGCCGAATGTTTTCCAGGGGAGGTGGATTGGACTTGGGGAATGTGGGAAAAACAGCAATTGGATCTGAACAAGTCTTAACAAAAGATATCGAACTCAGAGAGGCATCAGACTTACCACTGATGTATTGTGTTTTCAGAACGTGGCACAGTGGGATTTTATCATTTGTGAAGGACACAGCAATGCAATTTTTGTCTTCGTTGCACAAGTTTTGACATCTTTGTAGACTTGTTCTTACAACCGTTTCATTCGCTGGGTAAATCCCATACAGAAATGTATGGTCATACGTAATTAAAGATCCACCTGACGTGCAACTTTGTCGATATGGAACCAAACATTTCAAGCTAGATTCCCCGCTCACCGTAAATGGACATCTACAAACCTGAGAACCAGATTCATTGCGGGCACAAATACCACGGAGGCCACATGTTGCGAAGACGTCACATTGATTATCAAACGCTTGCCAAACTGACCTCCATGATTTTGAACCATTTAGCCAAGAGTACATTCGAAGGTTGCCATCAGCATCCAACCGAAGAAACCTAAATTTTACATCGGAATCATTATGATCTTCGCCAAATATAGACCAAACAGATTCAGATCTATTGTCAAGTAATTGAAATGTTCCATCAGAGCTAATTGTCGCATGGAGAGTTGATTGAGAAGGATTTCCTTTGGTCCAATAAATTACACTGGTTTCCCACCTAAGCTGCAGCTGGCCTGAATCATTCATAAAAAGACTGTAATAACTTGACACGGAATTTCTGCTAGGAGGCCGAAGGATTTGGTGAACTGATAAATTCTGCCCCGGGAGAAGTGTGTCGCATGGAGCATCAAAACTTTGCCAAATAGGTTTTTTATCTACATTCAATAGAACAAGATTGCCATCATTACGAAGAACAGCTGATGCAACAGATACATTCTGAGTCTTGCTTGTCCAAGCAATATCTCCCGTGAGAGAATCAAATAAAACTAACTCTCCTTCTTGAGTAAGTTGGAAATATGACTTGCTGCCAACTGTACGGTCAGCTCCAGCCACCCAAACTACCTTTCGACTATTGACTGGAATAGAACTTGAATTGAAGCGGATCCCTACACTATATTGGTTCAATACGTTAAAGAACCCAACTGCGAAGTCCCCATTTGAAGAAAGCCAATAGTTGTTTTCCTCAACCGAAATTTTCGAACCCAGTGGAATTTGAGAATTGACATCAGAGAAAAGCAAGAAGACCAACAAGCTATAGACAACGAAAGAAAATCTGAAAAACGCTCTTTCAATCCCGAGCATTTTTGAATTAGCTCGAGAATGTATATACCATTACATCAGAATGCAGAATCTCTATCTGCACCTATGCATTAACAGTCTATACCAGATTTATTCAGCTCCATCCTATAAGCATAACGAGAAAGTAAAGATTATGTCTTCAAGAATCGAGATTTTTTTCAATTAGAAATTCTAAAATGACATTAAATCAGATACAGATAGAAATTGAAGGAAATATTGACCAACACAAATATCTATACATTATTCTCATCTTAAAGGGACCAAGTAAGCAAAACCTAATAATTTCAAAATCAGCATCAGCTGAAACACATGATACTTGAAACAATTGTGGAGTCAAACTGCAATTAAAATTCAGAGTATGGTACCTGAAAAGATGTTAAACTTGACACAGCATCAAGATTTTGGCATAGAACGTCCCAGATTCAGCAAGCCTTCAACTTGGGACTACAAGATAACCACCAAATTGTTAGAGAAATGCAGAATCCAAAGCTGATGATTGAATCAAATCAGCTTAAGACATATTAAAGGTGGACCACAGCGTACTAATAACTGTATAAAAGTATACAACCATACAAAACCCCCATTGTCTTTAATGGATATAAAAAAGCATACTGATAGAGTTCTGAATAGAAATTTTGGCACAAGTGGGACCCAATTAAGGTAAATATTATGACTCTTTTTAAGCCTATTCATCTTTCTTTCATCTTTCTCCAGGGCTCAAGTCACATACAGAACAAATACTTAACAATTGACTGAGTACCCACATACAGAGGGAGGGGCGGGGTGGGGGTTGAAGGTATTAGGCAAATAATGGTTAAGAAACGTAATATTTCAATTTCGGCCACAAAATTCAAACATTGGAACAAATGGGACCCTGACTTTAAGGCAATGATGACGATCTAAGCATTCTGAACTCATAAAGTACCCCAAATTCAACGTCTCACGTGTTAAACAATCATGGGCTAATTTTTCTTTCCATCCTTGAATCATACTCGGTTGATTTAAGCCTCAAGTAGAGGCTATTTTTTATGCAGTAGTAAAAACTAAAAGATAAGGCCATTTCAATCAACAGCAAAAGTGATAATAGCTGTACTATCTTGACAAATTTGGGGTGTTTTGGTCTATGCAACATATAGGACTTACAAGAAGAGAAATTTTCCAGCAATGCCATCGACAAAGATGACAGAAAGCCGCCCGAGAGGAATATTCCGGTGAGAAAGCCTGACAGAACTTGTGAACGGAAGGCTGAACAGAAAGAACGGCGGTTGGATTTGTGCGGTCCTAAAAAGGCACACATGTGCAGAGGATACAAAAGTAAGGTGGAACTTTTTATTGTTTATATATTTTGATAATGAAATTAGGTTCTTACGATTTGTTTATGTGGGATTATGGATTTATGTTCCTGAAAGGAAAAGCGGGAGATTAAGGATATGACTCAAGGGGTTGGAGTTTACTTTTGACTTTTAAGGTTGCGTTCAGAATGTCAGAAAAACAGCGTGTCACAGTCAGTGCACAGGTCCGTATAGCTTTTCTTCCATTTCTAAATAGTTGGACACATGCAGTGTTTGGTTTTGTGAATAAGAAAAAGGAAACTACTTTTCTTTTCACGAGTTGTTTGGGAATTGATTATAATTTAACTTGTTCGGATCAAATCACTTTTTTGTTCGTACATTCTTGGAATTATACTTTACTTATTAAAAAAAAAAAAAGGGTTGAACTCCAACCTTGAGGACCTCTACCACCTCATCCTTAGAGCTTTGTGAAGGAGGTAAATCGGAGGATGTGCCCCAACAGGTTAGGGACCAAAAGTTGTATGTACACTGCGCCTACAAGGAGTCCAACTCCATGTTTTAGGAATCGAACCCCCACACTGTGGCTGCCAACAAAGTATGAGATAATCTCACTCCTATCCTTTGCATCACTGGACTATCTCCTAGGGGACGTACTTTACTTATTATTCATATAGGCTTTGAGGTTATAGTCACTTAAATTTTAATTAATTAATTACCTACTAAACTCCTGTTTGGCAGAGATTAAAATCAAATTTTTAGTTGATTTTGATAAAAGTTGATAAAATGTGTTGTTGAAAAGTTTTGAATATCATACAATATCTAATTTAAATTAATTAATGAATTTGACTTAAATTAAAATTTAGATTTTAATTTCTATTAAATATGGCTAAATATGTAATCAAGGAGATACATTTAAGGGGAAAAATGAGGAAAGTGAAATTATTTTTGTAGTTCAGTTGTAAATTAACCGAACAAAATCCCCGTTTGGCACGATTATTCCAAATTTTAATGGGTGTAATAATATATTTTTTTTTTTTTGAAGAATGTGTGATTGAAAAAGAAAAAAAAAATATTTTCAATTTACGTGTAACATGAAAGATTGTATAGCTTAAAAAAATAAAAATTATTTAATGGGGGGGACAAACAGGAGCTGTAGAGAACTCAAGAATTATCCCTTTTTTCTAATGCCCTCTTTGATAGATCCATTTTCCATGGAAATCACTCAAAATGTGTTGTTTGATGATCAAATTTTTTCATGGAATTGCTTTTCTACCTCCTCCCCCCGCCACCCCGCGTGACCTATTTCTAGCTTTTTAAAGAAACTAGTATGCGTCTTATGCGTTACAAGAATTTTGTATTTATTTTGGTTTTATTAGCGTAAAATTTATAGATTGTACAAAAAGTATTTGGAAATAAGAAATGTTTGTTTGATTCTCATCTTTTGGTCGACTGTATATTTTATGTCACAATAATTTATTTTTATTCTTATAAATAAATATAATGAATGTTGTGATTGTATATATGTCAACGATAATTTATTTTTAATTATTTATTGTATTTTTTTGTTTAATGTAGATGAAGATATTTTTTTTTATCTGATATTGCAAATAAGTTGTAAATTGAATTTTGCAAAATGCTTTTCTTTAGCAACTTCAATTCGAGAGGCTATACTTAAAGTTCAAAAATAACTCATGCAGTTGTAAATTGAAAGAGAATATCCACATACACAAACATTTAAATAACAAACTCAGGTTCGCACGTAAAATAACTTGAAGTGGCACTTACTGGATGGCCAACTCCCTTGTTGGTGTAAGAATTAGAACCCTAACAGTAGGCATATTCTTCGAACGATACAACAGTCACTTAAAGGTTGGTAGGGCGAAAGAATTTTTAAAAAAAAAATTTTAATAAATTTTATTTTAAAGAGAAAAGAATTAAAAAGAAATTTAAATAAATTGATAAAAAACCAATTATTTATAAAGTAAAATTTTCAATTTTAATTAAATAATATTTATATATTCTTCATTTAATTTTCATAACTTTATTTTATTTTTTACTTCTAAATAATTTTAAACGAATTTTTTTACTTATATAAGTAATTTTTACATATATTAGAAATATTTTTTGTTAATATGTTTATTTTTAAATTTTTTTTACTAAAAGTGATTTTTTTTTTTTTTTTACTTATAAAAGTGGTCAGTACTGAGTAAGGCGAGAGGTATGGAAAGTTACGTGTTACATAGATTCACATTGCCTCTCTTACACTATAAATATAATATAATAATATAAGCAAATGAGTTTATTTGAAAATGCGTGGTCATAGCATACGAAAAATGGAGGACGGAAAAGTACAAAAAAAAATTTTGAATAATCGTCCGTTTACGGAGATCACACTATATATAATTTTTTTAATTATTTTCTCTTCAATTTTTTTAACCTACAAATAACTTTTTCGTTAAAATTGAAAAATTAAGTTTTATTTGGAAGAGAAAAGAATTAAAATGAAAAAAATAATTAATTTTTTTTTAGGAAAAAAACGTATTTGTTAACACATACGTTTAATCTCCGTTTAACTATTTTCGATATTTATTTAGATCATTCGATATCTCTACGATATAGTTCTCAAAATTAGTTTCGAGAGAATGTAAAACATTTATCGATTCGACTATCGTACAATCGTCGATAAATTTTTAAAGTTAGCTTGTTATCGAAAATTTCGAAATATAGTTTGAAAATGCCTACTTTGACGTCCCATAACATTTGCTATGATTGACCGTTTCACGCACCGTTAATGACGTGCAATATTATGCCGCTAGTACTTCAAAACTTTTTTAAGAATGTAATATTTCGATTTCGTTTGATATCCCGTAATGAGCCTGAAAATGAACACAAAAACATAAGTAAAAAAAAAAAATTCATTTCTCTCTCTATGCACGGAGACCATCCTCTCATTTTTTTTCTTTTTTTTTTTTAAATAAAAGCTAATACCTCTTTATACTATATAAACTAACTACAATGATATCTATATATTTTTTAATTTTTTACAACTTGAAACAAACTTTTTATTATGTAAAGAAATATACTTAAAACTTTGAGTTAATATTTAATCTAAAGTAATATTTAGATAAATTTAATTTAAAAAATTTAATATTACGAAAAATATTACTATAAAATTAAATATTGCCTGAAATTATTAGATATATCCAACTACGATGATATAGTTTTTTTTGTATATCTATGATAATGTAAAAAAAAATATCCATGCACTCTATGCACGGAGGAACGCGTCGTTTTTACTCTCCATTTGAAAAAAAATGAAATTTTAAATAATTGAAAAAAAATTACGTCATACCGCATAATTTTTTTGAGCAAAATGATGTATTGAGAAAAATGTTGCGAAAAAATAATAAATAGGAAAAAAAAGATTTGATTTTTTAAAGAAAAAAGATTTATACGCATTTTTTAACACATGCATTTAATGTCCGTTTAACTATTTTCGATATTTATTTAGATCATTCGATGTCTTTACGATATAGTTCTCAAAATGAATTTCGAAAGAATGTAAAACATTTATGATTCGTACAATCGTCGATGAATTTTTAAAATTAGCTTGATATTGAAAATTTCGAAATAGTAATAAAATAATTGATTTTTTTAAGAAAAAATAACTTATGCATATTTTTTAATACATACATTTAATATCAGTTTAACTATTTTTTATTTTTTTTAAATATTTGTGTTGTTTACATTATAAATTTTTTTTCAATTTAAAATTCTTTTCTCTTAATAATTCAAACAAAAACTTAGTTTTGATTTGCATTATAAATAATTTTTTTTTCAACTTAAATTTTTTTTTTAATTTCTTTCTCTTTAATTTTTTTACTCACAAGTAACTTTTTACCTCTTAAAAATACTTTTTATCTTATATTATTAGTATTTTTATTTTTTAATAATTTCAGATAATATTTAATTTTATAGTAATAAAATATATTAAAAAATTTACTTTAAAAAATTTTATTATACTGTAAGAAACTGCTACAAAACGTAATTTTCATACCTTCCACCACTCCATGCTCAACCACTCTTATATAGATATATATAGTAGGGATATAAGAAAAAAATTACTTTTATATAAAAAAAATAAAAAAATATTTTACAAAAAGTTACTTTTAAGTAAAAATTTTGAAAAAAAAAAAGAATTAAAAAGAATTTTAATTTTTGTTGTTGACATTATAGTTTTTTTTTTCAATTTATAATTCTTTTCTCTTAATAATTCCAAACAGAAACTTAGATTTGAGAATTTTTTCTGTGTAGTTTTACATTATAAATAATAGTTTTTTCAATTTAGAATTCTTTTTAATTTTTTTCTTCAAATTTTTTATTATTAATCAGTATTTTTTAATAGTTTGAGATAAAATTTAATTTTCTACTAATAATTCAATATATAAAATGATGAAAAAAAAAAACATATTCACTCCATGCACGGAGAAAAAATTTTTTATCATACCACATAATTTTTTTTGAGCAAAATGATGCATTGAGAAAATTGTTGCAAAAAAGGAATAAATAGTAATAAAATAATTAATTTTTTTAAGAAAAACGACATATATGCATTTTCGACACATACGTTTAATCTCCGTTTAACTATTTTCGATATTTGTTTAGATCATCTGATATCTCTACGATATAATTCTCAAAATGAGTTTCGAGAGAATGTAAAACATTTATCGATTCGACTATCGTACAATCGTCGACGAATTTTTAAAGTTAACTTGTTATCGACAATCTAGAAATAGTAATGAAATAATTTATTTTTTTAAGAAAAAACGACTTATGCATATTTTTTAACACATATGTTTAATATCCGTTTAACTATTTTTGACATCTATTTAGATCATTCGATATCTCTACGATATAGTTCTCAAAATTAGTTTCGAGAGAATGTAAAACATTTATCGATTCGACTATCATACAATTGTCGATGAAATTTTTAAAGTTAGCTTGTTATCGAAAATTTCGAAATATAGTTTGAAAATGCCTATTTTGACGTCCCATAACATTTGCTATGATTGACCGTTTCATGCATCGTTAATGACGTGCAATACTATGCCGCGAGTG